TACAAGATAGGGTATGTTAGAAGTATGAGAGCAGTATGGAATCGAATTTAAGGAAGGGCCAGATGGGTTTGGGGTTTATGCTTCCAAGGATGTGGAACCACTTCGCCGGGCTAGAGTGAGTTATTAATTCATTGCAGTCTGTCGAGTTAGATGCACAACGCTGAATTTAGTGTCAGTGTCAGTGTCTATGATGGTTTCACTGTCCTTAGTTGTTGATTAAGTGTTTAGGTTTCGATGGCTTGTTTTTGGTATTAATGTGTTTTTGTTCTCAATTTCCTTAGGTAATAATGGAAATCCGCTAGAACTGATGTTAACCGTAAGCCAAAAGCTGCCATGGATGTTTTTTCCAGATATAGTACCAGTGGGTCATCCAATCTTCGATATCATTAACTCAACAGATCCAGAGGTAAGCGTGTTTGACTTCATTTCAGATAGCAAGAATTTACTGGAGAAGATTATCAAGTATTCTAGTACTTCTTCAATTTGTTTAATGGGCAATAGCATTTTCTTCAAATTATGAAATGACATTCATTCTATTGCCTTCATTTTTGTGGCAGACAGATTGGGATCTGAGGTTAGCATGCCTTCTTTTGTACGCATTTGACAAGGAAGATAACTTTTGGCAGTTGTACGGTGATTTTCTACCCAGCGCTGATGAGTGCCCCAACTTGCTTCTGGCTAGTGAGGTGGATAACTTTACAGAACATAATTCTTCTTCATTGTTTCTAAACATTTGCGTAATTTATTCTCGTTTATTTTCTTTGACTAGATCCAAATAAGATTTGGATCCAAGGCCTTGAGTGTGCCTGATGTTGAAGGCACATCCATAGCTGTGATACAGTTTTCGAGAATGCATCCACAGCTTTTGGCCTCTTGAGATTTAGATCCAAATAATCTTGTTTTTCTTTGCTTCTGCTCCATAAATGTTATAGGAGGAGCTTTCAGAACTGCAAGATCCCAATCTTGCTTCGACTATGAGGGAACAGCAACGCCGAGCCCTGGAATTTTGGGAAAAGAATTGGGTAATTATCAGCCTGTATATCTTGTACATCATCAATCATTCTAGTCATCAATATTCTGCAGAAAAAATTGATTACCCTCAGTTTTAACTCATTATACACATGCTTGTATGTGTGCTAAACCTCAATCAGCACTCTGGTGTACCACTAAAAATTAAACGCCTTGCTCGTGATTCTGAGAGATTCATTTGGGCTCTGAGTATGGCACAAACACGATGCATAGGCATGCAAATGAGAATTGGTGCACTTGTTCAAGATGCAAATATGCTAATTCCTTATGCAGGTAAGTTTCTATTCTCTTCAAATCTTCCAAGTTTGATTATAATTTCGCTCTCGTGAGTATATATTAAACTAGATGTAATATTGCAATTGTGAGGGGAGAATCAAGAACTTATCTTTGTTATTATATATTATATTCTTTGTTAATTTGCTCAAGTAACATGTTAATTTGGTGAAGAAGCAACCGTGTTCAGTGGCCAAACCATTCATTTGGTACAATTTGCTACAATTTATGTTCCCTTTTATGTTATTAGGTGGCTGTCTAATCAATTTGCTACAATTTGCAGACATGCTAAACCATTCGTTTGAGCCAAACTGCTTTTTTCATTGGCGTTTTAAAGATCGCATGCTTGAAGTGATGATAAATGCTGGAAAACGGATTAAGAAAGGTGACGAGGTAATGCCTATTCTATTTTATCATTTGGCTTTGATAAATTCCTTTCAAATTTAAATGCTTGCAAGGATACTTATGCAGGGACGAGTTTCATTTTTTGTTAACCTGACTAACAGTTGTCATGAGTAACTTGTGCTTCCTTAGCACTGTGTTCAGCCATCCTTCCCAATTCAAATTCTTTCTTGTTCGGTTTTTTATTTCAATATTTCACCCTCCCTCAAGTTACCGTTAACCCACAAAATCAAATAACAAATTTAATGCCATGATAAAGCCTACGATTGGTTATCCATAATATTAATGTAGCACATATATGAAGATGATCTGCTACTAATTTGGACGGGTATTACAGATGACCGTCAATTACATGAGCGGACAACAGAATGACATGTTGATGCAAAGATATGGATTCTCTTCTCCTGTGGTAATGTTCTCTTGCCTAGTAAAAAGAAGTGTGCGTATATATATACTTTATTTACTGATTTGAATTGTCAGTGTAGTTAATTGGAGTAACATAATAGAAATAGAGCTATTGGTCAAGCGGAGGAATATTTTTTTTTTCCATGAACGAAATTTGTGTTTAAGGTTGATAGTTTAGATTAGTACAACACTTATGTACTGTAATGGCACTCTCGGTGCTCTGGAATACTGAATCATGCGTGATTAGTTTTTGAGTATCAGTTTTTGTAGACATGAAGACGAGAGTCATGATTTATGACCGCACATATAATGGATATGGAAGCACAAATGAAATCTAGACACCGAAAGGCACAACTAAAAGCTGTGTCTGCTGACTTTACGTATAAGATTCTTGACTGTAATGCATAATGTACCCGAAAACTCTTGCTTCAGATTATTTTTCTGTTTAGGTTAAGTATGATGAATATTTGAATATATAGATTCAGTAATTAGAAGCATCATGGTGTCATTTGTACTTTTCTAAAATTGAGTGCTCTTTATCTGGCTTGGAACTGCAGAATCCTTGGGATGTGATTCCGTTCTCTGGAAATGCACGTATTCATTTGGATTCCTTCTTGTCAGTATTCAATATATCCGGACTTCACGGAGAGTACTACCATAACAGTATGAGGCATTTGAATTCTCTCTGTGGCTTGTTCTGTTTAGATTTGTAGTCCTTCAAACCTAACAGCATCGTAGTTAAAGGATCTGTATAAAAATGTAGCAGGTCGACTAGCTAATGATGGAGATACTTTTGTTGACGGAGCGATCATAGCAGCAGCAAGAACATTGCCGACGTGGTCCGATGGGGATGTGCCTCCGATCCCAAGTATGGAAAGAAAATCGGTGAAGGAATTACAGGAAGAATGCCGACAGATACTTGCAGCGTTTCCTACTAACTCTAAGCAAGACCAAAAAATCCTAGGTAAGGTGAAACCGAGTTGCCATGTGTTTTTTCTTGTAACCTATAGGTAAGATGAACTTTAATTTGACACTGGAAACTTATGTTTCTTCCCATCATACCCTCTGTAGATTCAATGCCAAATGCTAGCAGGACGCTTGAAGCTGCAATCAAGTATGTGATCACGACATGATTCATACCGGAGCTTTTTGAACCGAAATTTATGGCAAACTGAAACCACTGTCGATGATTTAACTGCTGATCTCCACCTATGCAGGTATAGATTGCACCGGAAATTGTTCGTAGAGAAGGTCATGCAGGCACTGGATATATACCAAGAGCGGATACTGTTCTGATAAAAAGCTTACGAGTTTAGAAGGCTAGGAAAATTTTGTGGCATTCAATTGTACCAAAACTCTGCTGATTACAGCAGAGTTAATTCATGTTTAACATGTAGTTTGTGCAAAGATTTTTATATTTATTTTTAGTATGTCTTTTCTTCCCAAATCGTGGCTGATTAAGTTCTAATGTATTTGTAGAAAAATTACTTTACGGATTAACGATTATATGATAAACCTAGTTCGACATCTTCTACTTGTGTTTCTGTATATGCAAGGCAAGAATCCAACATTGTAAAATAAAATTAAACAGAGCTTAAACTCTCAGGTTGGTAGGCTTCACCACATAGCAAATCACTTTAATGTTTTGCTTAGTTACAAGGTCACGAGACAAGGATCGGCAATTACAAGTGTGAGAATGTGAAGGTAAAAGAGTTCGGCATTGATGAAAGGAGAAACCTTGTAAGGGATTATAAGAGATTGGACTATTTCCCGTATTGTCAATTGATTTTATGGTGGAATTTCAATTTTCTTCATGATATCAGAATATGTTGCCCCTCCATGTCACCTAATCCGGGTTGTTCACGTATCCCACATTAGTGAAAGGAGAAACCTTGTAAGAGTTTATAAGAGATTGTGCTATTCACCAAAAGTGTATTTAATTATTTTAAAAACACTTTCAAATGAACTTAAAGGCGTTTTGATGCAATTTGTCACACAGTTATAGAAGCACACTGCTCTAGAGCTATTTTGACAAAAATCTAAGTCGGTCAATGTAACATCCCACATCGCCCAAGGGAGTGGATCCTGTAAGCCTTATATGTATATTCTCATCTTTACCTAACACGAGCCCTTTTGGGAGCTCACTAATGAACTTCAAAGTTAAGCGAGTTCGCGCGAGAGCAATCCCATGATGGTTGGCCCATTGGGAGCTCACTGATGAACTTCGAAGTTAAGCAAGCTCACACGAGAGCAATCCCATGATGGGTGACCCACTGGGAGCTCCCGGGATGTGGTGGATCCCGGGTCGGGATGTAACAATTTGGTATCAGAGCTAATCCCTGGCCGGAAATGTGCTGATAAGGACGTCGGGCCCCTAAGGGGGTTGGATTGTAACATCCCACATCGCATAAGAGAGGGGATCTTGTAAGCCTTATATGTATATTCTTATCTCTACTTAGCACGAGACCTTTTTGGAGCTCATTGGCTTCGGAGTTCATTGGAATTCTAAAATTAAGCGAGTTCTATTGCGAGAGCAATCTCATGATGGGTGACTCACCGGAAGTTCAATAGGCGGAGTCGAGCCCAGGATATGGTGGATCCCGGGCCGGGATGTGACAGTTAACATAATATATTTTGACGAATACACAAAAATTCAACTTCATTTTTTCAAAAAAATTTGAATCCATTGCGATTAAATTAATCAAATAAAATTTAATTTATATATTTCAACTTTTATTTAAGAACATAATGAGCTATAGGTATCCACTGGAAAGTTCAACCGGCAGAGTCGAGTTCGAAATATGATGGATCCCGAGCTGGGATGTGACAGTTAACATAATATATTTTGCCGAATGCACAAAAATTCAACTTCATTTTTTCAGAAAAAATTGAATCCATTGAGATTAAATTAATCAAATAAAATTTAATTTATATATTTCAACTTTTATTTAAGAACATAACGAGCTAGGCAGCATAAAGGCTTCCATCGTAAAAGCGACGGACTCCAGCACCGCACCGGTCGTATACCGTTCCCATTTAAAGGTATCCCTCTCTCCTCTCTCTCTCTCTCTCTCTCTCTCTCTCTCTCTCTTTCTCCGGTTCTAGTAGATAACAAGAATGGTTTGTTCATTACTGTTGAATCGTGAAAACAGTTAGGAACATTTTGATTTGTGGGTGTCTTACACCAGATGATTGTGCTGCACACCATATGTTTGATGAAATTTCAATTCGGTGGACCGATGAGTTGCACATTAGGTGTTTGATAAACACTAGTTAAGATCAGTTTGATTTGTGGGTTTTCTATGTATCGCTCTTTAATTGCATCAGTATAGTAGCTGATTGAGTTGCACATTAGGTGTTTGATAAAATGTCAATCTGGTGACTGATGAGGTAACAATGGCAGTGTCAATTGCAGTGTCAAATTGTTTTGGATAGTCTTGTAACTGTGAAAGATTTGGACTTCTCCTTGTGCTCGTAAGGAAATTTGTAGAACCCCACAAATATTCCTCAAATACTGAAAGTGTGTATCTTTTTTGAATTGGAGAGGTAAAGCGAGATGGCTACTGGTGGTCTAAAGAGCATGTTGGTTGCGGCAGTCAGTACTGGGGTGACTGAGGCTAGGGCGAGGATATTTGGGCACATAATCAACCCAACGGGCCAGAGATCTGCCCATAAGATTTTGCGCAAGAAGTTGATTGGTGAGAAAGTTGCCCAGTGGTACCCATATGACATCAAGAAAGATGACCCCCGAATCATGGCTATGGAAGAACAAGAGTACTCTCTCTACCCCTCCCTCTCTCTAATGTCTACTAAACGTCTGTTTTTATGTTAAGTGTTGAATTCTTCAATGCCAAACTTGTGATTTCCGTAACAGATCACGATATTCTTTTTCCACCTCTCATTCAAGTGTTGCAACTTAGCGTTTGATTGATGTATTTCATCTTTGTTCTACATCCAAGTTAGCAGAATGTAACTTGTGCTGGTTTCATGATTTTGTATCATAAACTGGTAGTAGCCTTTGGTGACTAATAGTCCTGATGATTCTCTACTTGGTATCTTTCTAGGCGCTTATCCAAGCTTGAAATGTTGAAACGTCGAGGAAAAGGACCACCGAAGAAGGGTCAAGGAAGGCGTGCTGCCAAGCGTAACAAAAAGTAGTATTTTGACATGTTGGATTTGGTTCGTGAGTAGCGTTTTGAATAAGAAGAGACTACTAGTATTTAGACATCTTGTAACAATTTGTTCCTTAAATTCTGTTTCAAGTTCCATTTTTCACTTTTGTAACGATGGTAACTATTATATGCGGGCAATATATTGCTCAGTCAAACATTTTGGCATCCAACATTTTCCAGGCTTCAGCTGATATGATACAAGAAGATTTAAGAATTCAACCCGTTTTCGTTTGTCGACGATACTTGAGCAATGAATTTTGAACCTGTTTACTTATCTGTGATGTTAACCAAATCAGGAATTAACGATAGTACGGGCTGAAAAATGACACAAACAAAACTCTCGTTGAAAATCAAGCGATGGCAAGATACATAAATAATCACTCTTATCACGAAACCTTCGAAAAGGATTCTCGAGCATCAAGCTTGACATGTATACAAGAGCTTCTGGGAACTTATACAATCAAAGGAATGCTACCAAATTTACAAAATAACGAACATTTTTCTTACCAATAATCTCCGCATGAACAAGTTCCATTTTTAAAGTGATGGAACCTTCTTACATCTCTTAGAATGATCTCCCTGTCCGTAATCTTGGAGATATACTTTGACGCAGTGTGGCAGTCATTACAAACTCGAAGGTTCTTGGAAACTCTAATGGTAGTCCCGGGACGGGTATTGAGAATGCCAAACGCTATTGCCAGTTTCTCGCTATGCCCACAGAGTAGAGTTTCTTTCTCCTCCTCGTCAACATTGTGAAGTACACAAGAAGTATCAGGCACATAACCCTCCTTCTTCATCTTTTCTGACAGGGTTTCGAGAAATTCATGGAGCTGCTTACTTTGTTGGTGTGACAAATCTCCAGCCAAAAACTTATGAACCTCATCGCCAAACTCAATCCAACTATAACCAGGTTCTTTTCTCACTCCCAATTCCCTCATCTTTCTCCGAACATCCATTGCCTTTTCCCAGAGTCCGGAAGATGAGTAGATATTAGAGAGTAGAACATAGTGACTAGCCACATCAGGCTCCAATTGCAGGAGATGATTAGCTGCAACTTCTCCAATCTCTACATTCTGGTGAATTCGACAAGCACCAAGCAAGCTACTCCAAGCACCTGCTTTATCGAGTTGAGAAGGCATAGAGTTGATGAGTTGATATGCTTCCTCCACATTACCAGCCCGACCAAGCAAGTCTACAACACAAGCATAATGATCTGGTGCAGGTTCAATTCCATAGTCCTCTTTCATTTTTCGGAACAAATTCAGGCCTTCATCAACCATCCCAGAATGACTACATGCTGCAAAAAGTGCAATGAACGTAACTTCATTAGGCCTTACCTCCTTGTTTCGTCTTCCTTCATCCACCATATCCCTAAGTAGTTCTAATGCTTCCTCCCCTCTCCCGTGCATTCCATAAGCCATGATAAGTACATTCCAGGTTATCACATTCTTTATTGGTATCTGATTAAACACAGCTCTAGCCAAATCTATACAGCCACATTTCGCATACATGTCAACCAGCGCACTTCCTACTGCAACATCAAATGCCAATAAGTGTCTAATAGCATAAGCATGGATCTCTTTCCCCTTAGCGAGTGCTCCCAGTGCAGCACAACCAGGAAGAATTGTCATGAATGTTATTGAATTTGGTTTAAGAGGAATCCTTTTTTCATTGTCATAACCACTATAATCTGTGTTCTTCTTTTCTTCTACTCTTTGCATATCACATAGCAGATTAAGCGCATCACCATGGCGTCCAGAAATAACATAACCAGTGATCATGGTGTTCCACGACACTATGTCTTTTGCCTCCATGCTGTTAAATATGATTTCTGAAATTACTGTCTTTCCTAACCTGGAGTACATGTCCACAAGTGCATTTTGCACGTACCTGTTCTTCTCCAGACCCCTCTTTATTACATAACCGTGGATACTCTCTTTATCCGCGAATGCTTCAGACCGCACACAGGCTGGCACAATACTCGACATTGTGGTGGAATTTGGGGAAAGCGCGGAGGCAGCATACATGTCAAGGAACAGTTTCAATGCCTCCTCGTCGTACTCATTTTGTGCATAGCCAGTAATCATTGCATTCCAAAGTGGAATTTTCCGCTCCAAGACAGCATCAAAAACTCGACGACCATTTCCAACTTGTCGGCAGTTGCAATACATGTCAACTAAAGCACTACCAACATAAGAATTTTCACTTAATTCAGTGGTTCTTAAGGCATAAGCATGAATTTCCTTCCCTGTATCTAACATCTCCAGATGAGAACAGGCCGGAAGAACACTTGCAACTGTAACCCCATCTGGTTTGAGTCCTGCAAGAACCATAAGGCCGAAGAACTCTAAAGCTTCCATAAACTGGTCGTTCTGAGAGAACGAACTTATCATTGTGTTCCACGAAACCATGTCACAGTCCTCAAACATCTCAAACAAAGCTCTCGAGTACTCAACTAATCCTAATTTAGCATACATTGCCAATAAAGCATTGATTGTAAATGTTTTCCAGTCACTCACTCTCAGACTATACGCATGAACTTGCTTCCCAAGCTGCAATCCATCACGCTTATGCAAATTCGAACAAGCATGTGCCACACTCACCAAAGTAAAGGAGCTAGGCTCCATATTCTCCAATAACATCGACCTAAACGCATCGAGAGCGAGTTCCCATTCCTCGATCCGACAAAACGCAGCAATCATGGAATTCCAAGAAACTTGGTCTCTGTCAGTTATTCCATCGAACACTTTGCACGCATCTCCAATATCTCCACATTTCCCATACACATTAACAAGGGTATTAGCCACGGTCACCGAGGATAACCCATACCCGAATTTCACAACATGGGCGTGAATCTGTTTCCCTAAATTCAAGTCCTGAATCCCCGTGACGGCCTTCAGAACTGCAGGGAAAGCAAAGTTGTCGGGTGCTACACCTGAAAGAGTCATTTCGATGTACGTAGAAATGGCTTCTCGGAAATGATTGGACCGGGTTTGGGAGCGGAGGGTCTCGACCCATGTGGCCGGAGTGCGAGAGTGGGATGCAAGTTTCGGTGCAGAACCGCCGCCGGCGGTGGTGGTGGGTGGGTTGAGTAAAGGAGAGGGCTTTAGAGTGTTTGTTTTGAGAGTTGTGGGTTGGTGGATTTGGAGGGAAGAAAGTGGTTGGGAAGGTAAGGGGCCGGAGAGAGGTGTGAGCAGTTGAGTGTAGGAGGAGGACATTTGGTAGTTATTACAGTTGGAGCAGTTACTGGATTAGTTCTAAAACGGAAAAGAGTTGCGCAGTTCATGTACTGAAGGAATGGAAAGGGATCCTCGGATCCCTTCCACTTAAGCCTCATGATCCATAAATTTGGATTATTGAAATTTGATTCAACGATTACAATCCTATTAAAAGTTATAATAATTTTAATCGTTAGATCAAATTTCAAGAGTCCGAATTTATGGATCATGAGGATTAGGTGGAATGGATAATGGTTGGGCTCACTTGATAGAATTTTATCTTTTTTATTTTCCTTTTATTATATTTTGACCAATTTTAAAATTTTATTTTGTTGTTTAATCAGATTTTCATAAATCAAACTATCCAAAAGATAAAAGGACCTTCAATTTATGCTTGCGTGCTCACTTGTCTTTTCCTAATTTTGTTACTCAATTAGTGTTTAAATGCAATTTGTTAATGTTTAAATGCAATTTGTTACATTCTTCAATTGAATTCAAACACAATTATCTGAACTTGAAACTTCTTTCAATATTGATAAGAGAAAGTACAGTTAAAATGCTTACCAAGTTATCAATAAGAAAATACGATTTGCATAAGTATCATCTGAACTTGCAAGTATGTGCGCTAATACCACCTAAACTTTTAATTTTTTATTTTTACCACATGAGCTCTCTCAACTGTTGGAATCTACCACCTACGTTACTTTTCATCTATTTGATGTTAAAACATGTCATACTCCATTCACATGGAGGTATATTTTTTTTCGATTTAGTTCTCAGGGCTCACTGGAATCAATTTGTACAAAGGCAAAAGGCATTGTTTGTGTAGTGGCGTTGGAGTCAAGTCATGAACAGAAATGAGAAGTTGATTTCAAGTTTAATTTTGGCAATGGTTGTTGAATAATTGAAGTGGAAATTGATTGTTGGCATCTACATTGGCACTAAGTGAAGAGGGATGGAGGATAATTTGCTGGGGAACTCCCAAATTATGGTAAATACTGCATGTTTTAACAATAAAAATGGATGGAAAGTAATGTAGGTGATAGATTCCAATAGTTAAAAGAATCCAGGTGGTAAAAATTAAAAATTGAAAGTTCATGTAGTATTATCGCGCATGCTTACAAATTCAGATGGTACTTACACAAAATCCCTTGAGAAAATATACTCATTGAGCATTTCTTCATTGTAGGACCATTCTCACATGTATCTACATATTTAAGTATGAGAACATGCACATTTTAGTATTTTGAGCTCGTTCGATGTCTAGAACTGGTAGACTCACAACATTCATATGAAAGTTTATTTATGCATACAAACGTGAGTTTGGGCTCGTTTGATGTCTTGAACTGAATAACTCATTGTGTCATATGAAAGCTTGTATGAGCACCCATAAATGTGTCCTCATCCACACCTCTACACTTGGCAGCTCTTTCAATGTGACATACAACAAACATGCGGAACCATTCTTTCACATGTGTCTGCATATTTTCAACATTCATTCTTACTATATCACATGTTTTGCACACCCTTTTCATGGTATGAAGCATCAACAAAGTTTTGCCTTTTTCGAACAATGTTTGGCTATTTAAAACTCTTTGTATTTTAATTATAGACTTTGTGTCTATGATCAGAATCGTTTATATTATAATTCACACTTGTAAAAAATTTCTGCAAGAAATGAATTAAAACTAAAGTTGTTTAGTGAATCTATTATAACAAATATATAAATGGTTCGTAATACTTTTATCAATTCCATTCATTTGTTTTTATACAATTGATAACAAAACAACCTTAGTATTATGAACGGTTCTGATCCTAAACACATAATTCTATAAATTGACAACGAATCATTTTGAATAGAAATAACTACTCATCGTTTGAATAATCAAGTAATTTTGAAAGAACAAAACTTGGCTGCTTAATAGTTAGCAGGAAGTCATGTTGAATAACTACTGTGGCTGCTTACCAGTTTGACACTTGTCCACTGTTTTTCTCCTTTCTAAAAAAATTATGCAATATTAAAACATTATGTAAAGACCAAAATAACCTTATGCCCTGGTTCAATTTGTCCAGTCTTCTCCCCTTCCTCTCTTTTGTTTCGCACAGACCCCAAATTTTCTTTTATTCCTCTTCTTAGACAAATGCCAATCCTCTTAATCATGTTGGCAACAAAATATCTCTCACTCAACTGCTTAATGTGAGTATTACATATACGACAACTATAATACATACAAACAAATATAGATGTGTAGAAAATGTTGATCCTATTATATATTTAGCAGCTTGATTTTTTGTTTGTAGGAATCAACAACAAATTTCCATGCCTTTTCACAATATGAATGAGCCAAACAAAATGAAAATTGGGCAGGATTTTCATTTGTAGATTTTTTGTAAAATGGAAAATCGGAGGTGTGGAGTATCCACCTATTATTTTGGCGTCCTCCAACATGAAGAAAAGATTGGAAGATATTTCTTTTTGTTTTTGGCAAATTTTGCGCAGTATAGAAAGTTGAAGTGGAGGTTGCACCATTTTCCTTTTGAATTGTACTATCTTAAGTTAAAATAACTTGTAATTGTCTTTGAATTGGCATAGCTGCTTTCTAAAGTAGTTATTCTAATCTTTTATACAAGTATTTTTAACATTGCATAAAAAATAAAAAAAATTAAAGAACCCATTAATTAAAAGAAAAACTAATGAAAATGGCTTGAAAACTTTGAGTTTTAACGATAAGAACAAAATAAAGGGTAAAGTGAATAGTATTAGGATTGGCTTTTTAGTATAAAAATATGATTTTTCGTTAAAATGAACAGTATCACAAGCTTTTCGTTAAAACTCCCTTAATTAAATTTGCTTAAACTTGAAAATGAAAACTGGTGCGTGCATGTGCTTTTGCCAAGAAGAGGAACAAAGCAAAGTTGGGGCTGTGAACAAAAGAAAGGAAAGGGAGAAGACTGGACAAATTGAATGGGCGGTGCAAAGGTATTTTGGTCATTTAATGATATTTTCATATTACGTAACTTTTTTAAGAAAGAAGAAAAACGTGGACATATGTCAAACTGGTAAGCCGCCACAGTGACTGTTCAACAGGACTAAAACGAAGAGATAGCTCGTCACTCCAAAAGGTCCTTTTCTGAAATTTGTATGCTAGAGAGAGAGAGAGAGAGAGAGAGAGAGGATGGAGAAGGCAGTAGCAGCAGAAGCCATAGCCAAGGTCTCATCAATCTTCATATACCCAGTAAAATCATGCCGCGGAATTTCGGTGTCCCAAGCTCCTCTCACTCCAACTGGTATGTATTAATTCACAACAGTCAATCCTTCTCTCTATTACTCTCATTTCTTCCACTTTCAATTTCACTAGTGATATTTCTGTTGAACCAGTTGAATCTATTTTACCATATGGTTGAAAAGTACATGAAAGTCTGTTTCTTTCTTGAGGCACCAGAAGGAAATGATCATTTAACTTTTAAATCAAATTGTTTGCATGATTAAGTTAAATTAAGGATCCATATTAAATTGACCCAATTGAGTTTCCTCCCTATTTGTTGAAATTGTACATGAAATTAATTATTTTTATTTTCATGCCTTTTCGAGTCACAGAAACAGTCTCTTTGTAAAGGTAAGGCGGCGTACAATAGACATCTCCCGACCCTCGCAAAGCGGAGAGCCTTGTAGGCTTGGGGTCGCCCATACTTTTTCTAGTGCTGTTATCAGTTTGTTGGATTATTCTATTTACATTATTAAAGCTGGGAGTTTTCTTTTACCCACTGATTTTCTACGAGGGGAAAAACGTATGAGAAGAGTATTATGCAGGAGGCTCTAATTGGGTTTTGGAAAATATGGTTTTGTAACATTTTGATTATCCTTGTTACTCGAATTCGATCACTTTTAGTTATTCAGTTAATCCATAGGAGCTGGCAAATGAATGCATCCACAAAAGCACAAATTTTGGCTGAATTTACTGTTTCTTACACTATTGATTGATGGTCCTTTATATTTCTTAATTTGGTAACAGGGAATAAATTATTGAAATGAAGATTGTTGGTTGGATTGTGAAGTGCAGGGCATGTTTGATTTTTCCAACATGTTTTGGATGTACAGGATTTCGATGGGATCGGCAGTGGTTAGTTGTAAACTCCAAAGGAAGGGCATATACTCAAAGAGTTGAACCAAAGCTTGCTTTGGTTGAGGTAGAGCTGCCAAATGAGGCGTTTGTCGAGGGTTGGGAACCTACCAAAAGCTCTTATCTAGGTAAAAAGAAAGTAATTTTCTGTTTTGCTACAAAGTTTGATTTCCCTCATTTTTTACTGTGTATATGCTCTCTGTTGCCGAAAAACTTTATCCTGAAGCAGGAGATTTGGTGATTTACTCATATGTCTTTCTCCTAACTAGTGATCAAATTCTCACGTGATATGCACCTGTTTCTGTAATTAGCGATGCTTAGTTGGACGTTGAAGTGGAGCTTTACTCTTTTCGGAATTTTAATCTCCTTCTTATACTTGGAAGTAGTCACATTCTTTTGTTGTATATTATATTATCATTGTTTCTTCGCCCATATAGAATTTGGTTGCAAGTTCATTCACCCTTTGTAGTAAAAAATAATCATTTCGATGATGTACTGGCAATCAAAGTAGTTGTTCATAGCATATGGTCATTGTGCTCACTACCTTTCAACATTCAGTGAGTTCTGTTGAAGTTATTAAATTGAATAACGAACTGGCATTCTTTTTGCAGTACTAAAAGCACCTGGCATGGATGTACTTAAGGTTTCGTTGAGTGCACCACGAGAAATAGCAGATGGGGTTTCCATGTGGGAATGGTCTGGTTCTGCATTAGATGAAGGAAATGCTGCATCAAAATGGTTTTCAGATTATATTGGGAAACCCAGTCGACTTGTTCGCTTTAATACAGGTAGACTTTATAATGGTGCTTTCAAAGAGTTAGGCACTGAGCGCACCAACTAGGGCTGATCAATCAAAACCTGCGATTATTTCTGGATAGGAAAATCAATTTGAAGATGCAATAGCATCCAGTGTGGTGCACACAGGTATTATTAGGACAAAACTAATTAATCTGCCCACTGTGTTCCAATGCAGTTTCAGAAACTAGGCCTGTGGAACCCGAATATGCTCCAGGATACAAAACCATGTTCTCCGACATGTATCCTTACATGCTAATATCTCAGGTTAGTCAAGTTGCAATGTGAAAAGTACGTCCTTTTGCTTTTACGAGGGAAGCTCTAATCTGGACTTGTCATTACATATTCCGTAGGGATCAATGGATGCACTGAATCAGCTTCTGATGGAACCCATACCAATTAACCGTTTTAGACCCAAGTAATTCTAAATTTATCGTTCCATCTGTTTATTCTTTAATAAGCATCCAAATTTCTGAACTTTCAATGACATGTTTCAGCACCCAAGTAATTTTCTACTCTACCAAAATTGTTATCAGTGTTATAACATATATTCATATAGATACTCACGGTTTTGAATCTTGAAAGCTCTTACTTGCATGTCACAGTATTCTTGTTGACGGTTGCGAACCATTTTCTGAGGACTTGTGGACAGAAATCAAAATAGACAAACTCACATTTCTCGGTGTCAAGCTATGCTCCCGTTGTAAGGTTAAGAGTCTTACCCTTTCTGCATTTTTTGCTATGTGGTGACACTCAAGCTAAATTACATAAGAACATTTATGTAATACTTGTCTCAAAATCATACTAAGAGCTGAGCGTTTCAGAAAGACTAATATGAATCGTCTGATGTTTCCAAATGAATTTTCGTGTTTTTAAGGTACCTACGATCAATCAAGACACTGGCATTGCAGGGCCCGAGCCAAATAACACTCTTAAGAAAATCCGATCTGATACAGTTTTGCGTCCGACGCGAAAACAGCAAGGAAAGGTGAGTACAGGTAGTAACTGTAGGGCTTTGCACCATATTCCTTCTGTATCCATGCAGTGATTCACATGTAGTAAATGGATTTCCAGGTCTACTTTGGGCAGAACCTAGTTTGCAAAAGCTTCCTTACTGGGCAGAAGGGAAATGTCGTAACGGTTGGAGATCTGGTTTATGTCCTTAACAAAGTCTCTTCTACTGATGAAGCAGCAGCATGAATGTCGAAGAATATTACACGCACAATAAGAACTGCTTTCTAGTGCATAATAACAAGTGGGCTGCTTGTATCATGATGAATGATATGTGATGATGCCTTTCTTGGCGTGTGGCCTAGCTAAACTCCCCAATAAATTATAATACAATCGCATTTTGCCGTAGCGTTCTAAAAGCTTGTTTTACATATTTAAAGAGCAAGAGGGATATCACCACCCTTGTAGGTTATATTTGCGAGTCCTCGTAACTGTTAGGTTATACGAGTGGGGAAACAATTAGGTTACAACAATCAGTCCACCACAACCACAGCTTGAATGGGTTGGTCAGAGATGGCTGCTTCCATGGCTTGGTACGGACATATTTCCCAATCATTGTCCAAGAACAACTTGACCAAATTGTTGTCGTAACCGCTGAATGTGGCCACCTCTGGCTTTGTACAAGGCACTGACGTAGACCTGGAACTGAACTTCCCAATCCGGGCAGTCCATTTTGCTTACAAACTCGCACTTGGACTTGAGACAATGTCCTCCTAGGGAATGCAACACGGGGTTTTGTCTGAAGTTGATCACCTTTCCTTTCCATGCCGGCTCTTTGTCAATTCGGACACCAACAGTCCCAAACCTATCGATACATCCCTGCCGAATTGGCTTTCGGGGGAGACATCACGAACAGCCAAGCAGTTGCTCAAATTCTTCTTTCGCCTTTGCCCTTCTGTTGGTTTTTTAAGTTGATCCTCATGTCCTCCACCTTTGCCTTCCACTGACGCTCGGCTGCTTGCCCGACATCCTCATCATTCACATATTCTACGATTTTATGTGGAGTAAATTGTAGCTATATTTCCTTAATTTTAATTCAATTAGTGCAATAGTTTCTCACCTAAAAATCTATTATCATTGGTCCCTCAACTCCTCAAAACGTGCAGCTATGGTCCCTCAACTAAAAATTCATTACCATTGGTCCCTTAACTTTAATTCAACTGGAGAAATGGTCCCTTAACTTTAACCTAATTGTAGCAATAGTTTTTCCAACATAACTCGTTTTGACAAATTTTTTGATGTGGTTGATGAAAATGACCATAATTACACACTTTGATGAGTTGAGAGACCCTAATTGTATAAATGGTCATTCCAACATAACTTATTTTGACAAAATTGATGAAAATGACTATAACTACACATTTTGATAAGTTGAGGGACCAATGGTAATGAATTTTTAGTTGAGAGACCATTACTACAATTTACTCTTTTATGTGGAAGTGAGTGCTGTATTGAACACCGCAGCAGCCGGTGGCGGCTTTCACGTTTTGTAATGCATCGTATGAGCAACACTTGCACTGCATCTTAGCCAAAAGGTCGAGACAAAGAAGGAAATTTGAATTCAAGTGCAATCGTGCAAGAGGACTAACATAATGTTCTATCCAACTTACCCAAATCACAAAAATATCTTTCAAACCCAGGAACAAGAGAATAACTTATATAGAATGAGTTCATCGTCACATGATATTTTTATTCAATAATTTATCATTACGTGGAAAAAATACTTACACATAATAATATATTATTAAGCATGAGAAATCGCGTAACAGTAAATTTGTTTTATGTAACAATCGTGTTTTCGACCTTTGGTATTCAAATGGGATCGCTGAGGGCATGTTTAATTATTAACCGCACGATCTCATTTGAAGGAGATCTAACGGTTCCGCATGTAATCCCTTACTAACGGCGTCTCCTTCTTCTTCCGACCAGGATTTCTTCACGTTACCTTCTTTCTGCTGCTCTGGTTTAAGGGACTCTGTGATATTCTGAGAGCACTCAGCGAGTTCACTCGGAGAGTTCGCCTCTATCTGAAACGTCAAAAAACGCATCAAGACCCAGTATTTTGATTCCGGTGTCTCTCAACCCATTTGGAGATTTATGCAGGTTTCAATCCAAAACCCAGAAGAAGCCCTTCTAATCCCATGCCAAAATGCTCAACTTACTACTCGAAGCTCCTCGGCAGCTCAATCCCACAGGGCGTTTGGAAGCTGGGTCTTTATCCCATCCCGCCATGTGAGTTGTTAACTTCTTCACTTCTCTCTCACTATTCAGTTGTTGCAATTCCATCCAACCAAGCTCTCGAAGCCGAACCTGTAAACATTGACGAAATCCAGCCCCCAATTTCTGATGAAATGTTCAGGAAAGGTGCCAAATTGGGTTCTTACAGATCGGGTGATTCGACATTTTATTCACTCATTGAGAATTACTCGAATTCGGGTGATTTTCGGTCCTTGGAGCAGGTTTTGGATCGAATGAAGCGCGAAAGGCGGGTTTTTATTGAGAAGAGCTTTATTCTGATGTTTAGAGCCTTTGGAAAAGCGCATTTACGAATTTCATTCATTTGTTTTTATACAATTGATAACAAAACAACCTTAGTATTGTACCATGGTTGCACTATTTTCTTTTTGAATTGTACTATCTTGAGTTAAAATAACTTGTAATTGTCTTTGAATTGGCGTAGCTCTTTCTAAAATAGTTATTCTAATCTTTCATACAAGTATTTTTAACATTGCATAAAAATAAAAAATAAAAATTAAAGAACCCATTAATTAAATTTGCTTAAACTTGAAAATGAAAACTGGTGCGTGCATGTGCTTTTGCGAAAAAGAGGAACAAAGCAAAGTTGAGGCCTGTGAACAAAAGAAAGGAAAGGGAGAAGACTGGACAAATTGAATTGGGGTATAAGGGTATTTTGGTCATTTAATGATATTTTAATATTACGTAACTTTTTTAAGAAAGAAGAAAAATATGGACATATGTCAAACTGGTAAGCCGCCATAGTGACTGTTCAGCAGGACTAAAACGAAGTGATAGCTCGTCACTCCAAAAGGCCCTTTTCTGAAATTTGAATGCTAGAGAGATATAGAGAGAGAGAGAGAGAGAGAGAGAGAGAGAGAGGATGGAGAAGGTAGGAGCAGCAGAACCGATAGCCAAGGTCTCATCAATCTTCATATACCCAGTAAAATCATGCCGCGGAATTTCAGTGTCCCAAGCTCCTCTTACTCCAACGGGTATGTATTAATTCACAATGGTTAATCCTTTTCTCTATTACTCTCATTTCTTCCACTTTCAATTTCACTAGTGATATTTCTGTTGGACCAGCTGAATCTATTTTACCATATGGTTGAAAAGTACATGAAAGTCTGTTTCTTTCTTGAGGCACCAGAATGAAATGATCATTTAGCTTTTAAATGAAATTGTTTGCATGATTAAGTTAAATTAAGGATCCATATTAAATTGATCAAATTGAGTTTCCTCCCTATTTGTTGAAATTATACATGAAATTAATTATTTTTTATCTCCATGCCTTTTCGAGTAGCAAAAACAGTCTCTTTGCAAAGATAAGGCTGCGTACAATAGACATCTCCCGACCCTCGCAAAGCTGGGAGCCTTGTAGGCTTGGGGTCGCCTATACTTTTTCTAGTGCTGTTATCAGTTTGTTGGATTATTCTATTTACATTATTAAAGCTGGGAGTTTTCTTTTACCCACTGATGTTCTAGGAGGGGAAAAACATATGAGAAGAGTATTATGCAGGAGGCTTTAATTGGGTTTTGGAAAATATGGTTTTGTAACATTTTGATTATCCTTGTGTTGACCTTAAAAATTACAAAGCCTACGTGGCATGCAGGCCGAGTAACTAATAAGCTAACTACGTCATTCGGTTGAATGCGAGGCATGCCAACTCGTCGGCCGAGGAGTAAAATTTGTTGATGTTGCGTTGAGCACGTTGCTGACTTCTTTATCTTGCGACTGCGGTCGAGGAAGGAACAAATCTCGGCCTTCGGATTCTAGAGCCTGAAGACAAGGCTGCTAGTTCTGCGAAGTTCACAAATTGTCGGCACCGGATTCGATCACAGTGATTATATTTGTGAAAGTATAAGCACGTCGAATCGACACCAGACCGTACGGACACAAATATTCAAAGGTGATGTATGTCTTGATGGTGAATGTGGTTCGGCCGCTAGAATGCCGAACTCTGAAACTCACTCGTGAGTATCCAATCGTAAAATCACTCGGCGTTCAATGCGCCGAATGTCATAACTTGTCACACCTTACATCGCCGAGAAGGCTGCCAATAAAGATTTGGAAACCCTTCTTGACCGAGACTTGGATAGGTAACCAGTCGGCCTCGACGCAGTACTGTTTATCCAAACTGAAGGTGTTCCTCGGTCGGCTGATTCTACGGCAACAATGTTGTTTATCCAAACTGAAGGTGTTTGCCGGTTGCCTTCACAGTGCTGTTTATTCAAACTGAAGAAGTGTCGGTAGAGAAAAGAAAATGAAAAAATCTCAAGATGTTTAAAAGGTTTTGCGCAGGGCAATTGTATGTTTAATTGGAGGTCCACCAATTGTTGCATGACGTCTTGTATTTATAGCACCAAATCTTCCTCGAGATTGAATGATGTCTTGTATTTATTGCATGATGTCTTGTATTTGTTGCATGATGTCTTGTATTTATTGCATGATGTCTTGTGTTCGCCAGTTGCCTTCACAGTGCTGTTTATCCAAACTGAAGAAGTGTCGGTGGAGAAAAGAAAATGAAAAAATCTCAAGATGTTTAAAAGGTTTTGTGCAGGGCAATTGTATGTTTAATTGGAGATCCACCAATCCTACCCCTATTAAGACTTTGAACTCACCCCCTTTTTGAGGCTATATTCATTGTTGGTTGAGAATCCGAATTGCACTAGGACTTCTTCGACCCCTTTGTTTATCCGAACTACTCCTTCTTGCGATAGAATTCGTTCATCCTTGCTGAATGGCTCGGGATCACCAAGCAGCCCACAGTATATTTGAAACAACTTTGGGCCGAGTGTTGCCGAGCATAAACCTACACTCAACCCAACAATATTATTTTGGGCCCAAACATTGCCTCTTCGTTTCTGAGGTCGTCGACCGCCAATCCTCGATCGATTCTCGACCTTGAAGAAGCAAAAACGTTTTTTTCCTTTAGACTTAACTGCCTTGATAACCTTTACCATGCGCATTTATGAAATATGATTGCACAATCTCTGTTTTTCCCGATGTCATACCAGGTGTCGACTCTCCGATAACCCTAACAACTCTTAATCATGGCCCTCGAAAATGTGCGCCCGTCGAAATGTCTTTTCCTCATCAATGCATTAAATCC